AATTTTTGACAAAAAGATGCATAACTATCTGTTTTTAGAATAATATATAGGTATTTCTTAGCTGAGAAATCTTAGATAACCTTTTTTCTTAATTTAGAAAGGAGATTAATGACACTTTTAATATAAAAAAAAATTCACGAGGGAACATATTCAACTGTCAAATCGCTTTTGAATCAGTTATAGCCTCAACTGATAGATCTCAATGAGTTATTAAATACCCTAGAAGGGATTGGTTTTCCAGGCCTCCTGAACATAGATATACGCTCATTACTATTACCAATTTTGCTCTACTACTGTACTAATATATTCGATATCTTGACTAAACATGCTTCGATTCGACTCAAATTTATATCAGTGCTAAAGCACTCAATGCTGATTAAGATCCTAGAGTTTGAAGATAAATCAATGATTTTTATCTAAGATATGAATTTGTTTATTAAAACACAACATTTGCTCTTGTTCAAAGATGCAAGTATTGACTCATCTGAAATTTTCAGTACATATTCATCCCATAGTTACTAAGCGTATGGAAATATCAGCTCATTTGTCGGTGTTTTACTCAATAAGACTTAGAAGAGTGAATTTGTGTACTTTTCAATATGGAACCAATATGCTAAACTTAATTTTCGTTTCGATGTTTATGTCTTACATTTTTGCTTGATTTGAAAGAACTTTTTACACTCATCGTCTGATATAAATAGAAGCATTTCTATTCCTTCTGTTATCAATTTATGACTTAAAAAAAAAGAACATTTTTTTAAAGAATAGATGGAAAAAAATTTTTTATCAAAATACAACTATGATCTACACATTTAAAATGCTGATGTTTCACCATATTCACCACTTCTACCTCACCACTTGTTTCATACCTCTCTGGATAATGTTTCACAGTTGACTCACTGATTCGTAAATAACGTGAAACATCAGCATTTTAAATGTGTAAATCGTAGTTATATTTTGCTAAAAAAAATTTTTTCCATCTATTCTTTAAAGAAATATTCGTTCTTTTCTTAAGTCAGAAATTGATAACAGAAGGAATATAAATGCTTCTATTTATATCAGACGATGAGTATAAAAAGTTCTTTCAAATGAAGCAAGCAGATAAATCAAAAGTCATTGCTGAACAAGAAAACGAGATCGCCCCCACTTATGGCGACTACTGTATATTTCGTTGACCGAAATAAAGCTCATTTTTTGCTTGAATACGACATGTGCGTAGATTCATTGGTGAGGGTGTGGGTGTGGATGTCGAGTGGGTGTTTTCTCTCTACTCACACTCAAATCCACACCCACCCACACTCACACCCACACACCCACACACCCACACACCCACACCCAGACCCAGACCCACACACCCACACCCCACACCCACACCCCACACCGCACACCCACACCCACACCCATACCCCACACCCACACCCACCCACTCCCACCCCCACACCCACCCACACCCACACCTAGAGGTGTTAGCCGATCATTAGATCGGCGGCGGCGGCGAAAAAGTTTTCATACGTCAGCGGCGGCGGCGGGGAGCTCTCGCCGACGAGACCCTTTTCGGCGGCGACGGCGATGATAAAATTTTCTATATGTTGTTTCACAGAGTCTTTCATGGGTTCCTACTATTAAAGCAAATATTAGACGTTCTCTTCTCATAGAATTATTACATTATTTTCCTATTAGCACGTTAACATCTTATGTCAAATTGTTTCTACTATACGTGACTTTATTTTCGTCAATTCAAAAAACCCACTGTTCCATCAGGAAATATCTTCAAATAAAACAACCATCACACGTAATACAAGTCGAAACGGCAATAATGTGACTATCTTTCTATTTGAAGTTCGAATACAAATAAAATTCAAAAATTGTAGCTCTAATTAGATCATAAGTGCAACTAAAACTAAAATTGTAGTTTGAATTCAAATTAAAGTTGATATTTTGCTGTGTATTGAAAATAGGGCCAACACTTATTTTCATTGATTATTTGAATTCGAATTTAAACTAAATGGTTTTTTTCTCAGCTGACAGGAATGTCGATTCGAACTCAAATTCGAATCGTAGTATTAGTTTCATTTATACTCGAACCTAAATTAGACAGTTGGTCAAAATTGCATATTGAAAAAGTGAAACATGACAAAATGAAGAAAATATAGCGATGAATCTATTGTGCATGAAGTAACAAAGCAAGTGAGAACGCTATAAGTATAGAAGCATTATGATATCACAAAGAGATATATTTGCTCATCAGCTCGACTTTCAGACTATAAGTCATTCACGAAAATATACACTATTATCTATTTTCTTAAGAGTTCTGTTCGTTTCAACAATATCTCATCGTGACACAGACCAAACTTGAAATGTTACTGACTATTATCCACAAGTGATAATTTAGAAAAGGAGGAAACATGAATTGTAACCTTCAACTCGGTCGACGGCGGCGGTGGCGAAAAAGTTCCCGCCGAGATGTCCTATTCGGCGGCGGCGAATAAAAATTTTATCGGCGGCGGCGGCGAAAAATCGGCGGCTAACACCTCTACCCACACCCACACCCGCAAAAAATAACGCCAAAGTGTCGGTGCGATACGACGATTTTGTTTTCAGAGACCTCTAAGCATATTCAAATGTTGTTCTGAGATTGAATTATACACCATTTGATAGAGTTTGTCGAGCTGTATCGAATGACATCCTTTTCAAGCATGGTTTATGCTCCCTCGCGAATTGAACAAAATTTCGTCCCTCTTCGTGAGTCTTCCTAACTAATGACGGAAAAGAATAAATCAACAGCTATCAATAGTTTCCATGAATGTCCCATCCACGATTGTAGAACCTGTTGCATAAACACCTCATCATGCGCTTCATACACGATAAAACGACTCTGAAAAAACGATAAATAGAATGAAAGAGCGTAACGTGGCAAACATTTTAATACTCAATGCGAAGTACTTGAGTAGTATTTCAAACGATGTGTCCGCACCCCGAATGTGAAAGACATGCGGCATAAAGATGACGATGAAACACATAGACAATGTGTGACGCTCTTAAAAAGGATCACAATGTCATGAACCATGGTTCAAAGTACATTCGACAGTCCTTCACTCAGACTATCCTTACAAGCGTGTACTCGATTTACTGCCGTTGGATTTACTGCAGTAAACAAGGCATATGGAATTAATGCCGTTGCATTTACAGCCGTAATCAATATATTTGAATTGTATTTTTTATTACATCCAAATTCAGATATCAATGGTTTTTATGTGTAAATCCATTTGTGTATATTACTGTCGACCTCAAAAGTCTCGCCCCACTTTTTTGTTTTGAGTCGTGTATGAAAACTACACAACATTAATTTAATTCAATTATATGTTTGGATAGCAGAGATCGAGTACTATATATATACACCTGTTCAATTTCGAAAAACTCTTGAATATGAAATACAATAAGAAAAACAAACTTCAGTACTAAGAAAAAAATGACATAAAAAACTACAAAATGATATTGTTGTTATAGGATACTTCCATGGTCAATCAACCACGAAAAACACAAAGTATTCAGAAAACTTTTCATTTTATCAGACTTTGTAGAGCTTTTTTCACTGATCATTTTGGTAAAAAAACATTTTGAATTTCATTGAGAAATGACGGTATTATAGTCAAAATATTAAATACTGTGAAATATTGAGTGGGATTAATCCGATCCACACTAACCCTCACCCTCACACCCACACCCACACACGGTCACCCACACCCACACCCTCACCCACACACCCACACTCTCACCCCACATCTTCACACCCATACCCACACCACCCCACACCCACACCCACA